AGAATAGAATAAGGAATAGAATAGAGTTGAGTAGGATAGGATAGAAGAATAGAATAGAAAAATAGAATAGAAGAATAGAATAGAAGAATAGAATAGAGTTGAGAAGGATAGGACAGAATAGAATAGAATTCAGGAGAGGAGAGGATAACAGAGTTGGAAGGGACCTTGGAGGTCTTCTAGTCCAACCCCCTGCTTAAGCAGGAAACCCTCTCCCATTCCAGACGAAGCGTTATCCAATCTCTTCTTAAACACTTTTTACCCATTTACAACTTCTGTGGAGGCAAGTTGTTCCGCTGGTTAATTGTTCTCACTGTCAAGAAAATCCCTCCTTATTTCTAGGTTGAATCTCTCCTTGGATCAATTTCCATCCATTCTTCCTTGTCCGGCCTTCAGGTGCCTTGGGAAAAAAACACTTGATCCTCCTTCCTCTCTGGGGCAGCCCCTCAAGTATCGGAAGACTGCTATCCTGTCTCTCCTGGTCCTTCTTTTCATTCAACGAGACATCCCCAGTTCCTTCAACCGTCCTTCGTATGTTATAGTCTCCAGTCCCCTAATCCTCTTTCTTGCTCTTCTCTGCACTCTTTCCAGAGTCTCCACATCTTTTCTACATCGTGGCCACCAAAACTCAATGCCGTATTCCAAGTGTGGCCTTTCCAAGGCCTTGTAAAGTGGTATTAACACTTCACGCTATCTTGAAAATAAACCGTAAAGAAAGCACAAATCTCGGCGTTCAAATTTGGGCTTGTCTGTCCCCTGTGTTTCTCAAATTTTAAGAAGTGTGGAGGTCAGGTAATTATGGATTAATATACGTCCAGCCTGATTGCATATTGATTGATTGATTTTGCCACGTTTGTGTAGTATATATCAGAGGCGGTGACCCCTTTTGAAGGCTGCACGCAGCAAAATCTCACTTTAATGTAACTTTACTGTCACTTCCAACGTATATTTTAGTGTACGTTGGAAGTGACGATAAAAGTTATTTTAAGTCTTTAATAAAGCTACGTCTGGAATCCTGACTCCGGTTTTGGTCCCCACGTTGCAAAAAAGGGGTTGAAACTTTGGAAAAATTGCGGAGGAGAACAACTAAGAGGATCAAAGGCCTGCAGACTAAAAGAAGAGTTGCAGGATTTGGGTTGGGCCAGTCTAGAGAAAAGATGGAATGGGGGGAAGGGGGGGTGATATTCTAGTATTTGAGGGGCTGCCCCAAAGAAAGAGGGGGGGTGTGTCAAATTATTTTCCAAAGCCCCTGAAAGGCAGGACGAGAAACAACAGGTGGAAATTCAGCAATGAGAAAACCCATCTGGAATTAAGGAGGAATGTTCTGAACAATTGACCAGTGGAACTCCTTGCCACCAGAAGTTGTGGGGGGCTTCATCATTGGTTTTCAAGAAGAGACTGGGCAGCCATTTGTCTGGGAGAGCATAAGGTCTCCTGCCTGAGCAGGGGGTTGGACTAGAAGACCTCCAAGGCCCCCTCCAGTCCTATTCCGATGGATTGATTGATTGATTGATTTTTTTTTTGATTGATTGATTGCATTCTGGGAGTTGAAGTCCACCCAACTTAAACACTGGCCTTTTAAGAAATAACGTGGAGCGATTTGGGATGGATGGACTGAAGGAGGGAGAAGTGAAGGAGGAGAAGTGAAATGATGGATTTTGGTGCCCTTTTGATTTGGCAGGGGGACGACTTTATTTTATTTTTTCCATTCAGAGTTTGTTTTCATTTTTTAATACGAATTAGAGCCGAGGTGGCGCAGTGGTTAGGGTGCAGTACTGCAGGCCACTTCAGCTGACTGTTATCTGCAGTTC